TCTCTATTCATTTTTGTCTATTTCTGTATCGCCCCTTCTCTCTCTCTCTTTCTATCTATCTATTTGTCTCTCTCTCTCTATCTATCTATATTCAGCTTTATTTATTTCTCTCTCTCACACTCTCTCTCTAACTATCTCTATTCATCTTTGTCTATCTCCTCTCTCTCTCTCTCTCTCCCTATATATATATATATATATATATATATATATATATATATATATATATATATATCTTTGTCAATTTCTCCTTCGCCCCCCTCGCTTTCTATGTATCTATCTGCGCGGGATTGATTACTGGTTCGTGCGTGGAAAAATTTTATCGATGAACTGAGTTCGAATTCTGCATGAGATTACTTATGTCATTTTTCATGGCTACATTTGGGAAAGGCATGAATCGATTCTCCTTTTATTCTGTACCATTGCCCTGGAAATTAAATTATTTTATACTTTGTTAACGGAAAGTCAAAAAGAAAACGATTATTAACGAAAATATTACTGAAAGACCTATGATATGTAAAACACAAATCCATTGATTAGGATTTTCCTATACAAAAACACTGAGAATCACCAAAAAAAGGGACGTCAAGAATTAATGGTTTGCTTTGGTTTGTTTTACGGCATATCGACACCTCAATGGGTTATTTAATGCCGACAAGATTTTTATTCCGTGTAATATTTTTTTTCATTCAGTATTGCTGGTATTAAAACCTATTTTTATACTTTCATAGTGTTTTGACCCCTTTTGGGGTAGGGTAACTGTTGCCCTTAACAAGGACCCTGACAGGTGCTACCACCCCGGGTTATTGTGGACATCAGCAATTAAGAGCTGGTTCCACGCTCCTCGAAACCTCCTGATCAGAGGCCTTGCTGCTGAACGTAGTTTGTCGTCTTACCCAGGACACGGACGGGTTTGTGGGTTAACTATTTGCCTACTGCTGGGACCCTAACAGGTGCTACCAATCCGGAACAGGGAGGACCTGGGAAAACCAGCAATTAAGAAGTGGTTCCACGCTCCTCAAAACCTCCTAATCAGAGAGCTTGCTGTCAGATGTACTTCATCGTCTTACCCAGGACGACAAGAATTAATATATGCATTATTGAAAGAACAGAACTTTGATATCCATCATGTAAATGTGTTGTTTCGGTTAAAGAAATGCATTACAAATCATGAAGAGATTGATTATTCAACGGTTCAAAATGAATGCAAGCTTTATTGAGAGATTGGCATATGCATATAGATAATATGAACGCACTTAAAAGCAAGAAGAAAGGGATTGTCAAAGGTCAATAATTAATTTAGTCACTGTTTACACAGGTATCTGCTCGAAAGGTGGTGCTATTTAGTCTTCTGAATCTCCATTCTAACCTATTTGTCATTTTTACCTTCGAAGACTAAGCTTAGTCGATATTTATTTACCTAGAGCAATTTTTGCTATTTCATTGTCAAACAACTCGCCTCACCTTGAACCCACACACACGCGCGCGCACACACACACACACATACACACACATATATACATACATATATATATATATATATATGTGTATAGATATATATATATATGTATGTATGTATATATATGTATGTATGTATAAATATATGTATGTATATATATGTATGTATATATATATATATATATGTATATATATATATATATATATATATATATATATATATATATATATATATATATATATATATATATATATATATATATAGATAGATAGATAGATAGATATGTATGTATGTAGTGATACATAAATAGATGTTAATGTCTTCCTTGTCTTACCTGACCCACTGTAATAAAACTTACTTTTACGCTTAACCACCCAGCCTCATGAACAGGGTGGCTGTTTGTCTACCCGAGTAATATTATCCCGGTGACAATATCTGGCAAGTGACGTGTTGGGTGGGTGTTTGAATGTAGAGGCGCATGAATTATTCCAGATCACCTCAATCTTTTCTGGTGCCATCTTGTCACCGGACACCGGGGCCGGCCGCTTACACCCGGCCGAATGAGGTAAGAAGGCTTTTAATCGGCTTCTCAGCCTGATTCAATATGACGACAACTTATGAATTCTGAAACATGTTATCTCTCGATTGTCACACATTCAGATCAGAACAGTATTACAATGTCCCTCCCTGCGCCCAAATATGCTTGTCATCGACACAATTATCGATTCCTACCTGCTTAGCGCTCTCTCTAAGACGAAAGAATGTATTCAGCGTTTCAAAAAGTGTTATATTGTTAAGGTTACTGGCTGCTAATTGCTATGTCAGCAAATCCTGGTTGCCTACGATTGAATCGATAGCACTTGTACTTCTGACTGTCTTCTAGCATGAGTCATAACACAAGATGTTCGGGCACGGATAAGGATATAAGCCGAAACAATGATCGACTGTATTTTTTTATGGTACTGGTATTTAGAAAACTTAAAACGATTACTTAGTTACTTATTTTAGTGCATCATTTTACTTATAATTATTGACACGTAACACAAACACTAGTCAGTACTTTATTTAAACAAATTAACCGTAAATAATCAACAATATTTTTTTATAGACTCTTCTCTCACTCATTATAGACTGGTTTTACATTTATATAAGTAGCGAAGTAATCGATCTAAGTAATGCAGTTAATCGAAATAAATGCTCTGTAATTTGTTGCGTTTTATAATCTGCAAGTATTTAATACCGTATAGAACCTACTGCCATATCACGGATCATGGGTCCTCTCACTGGATCTAACCAAAGCCTTTATACACTGTGCTGTGTGTCCTTAAGGACACAAAGAGTTCAATACCTGGTTAAGGCAGTGGAGAACTTGTAGAGGTAAATTAACTGGATGTAACTTATAACTGACATCCATTAGACATGGCACGTGGAACTAGAACATTCTACCGCAGTGAGCGAAATAAAGGGTTCAGTTCGACATACCAACTACCTGAAGAAGCCCGGAGCGTACAACGACTGAAACGTTGTGATAGATATGGCAACAAAGATGAAGACAATATTCCGAATAATATAAATAGTATACGTAATACCTCATCTCAGAAATATAGACAGATACTGATGGATTCACTTTTACTGTATTTTGTCCTATCGAACATTAAAGAGAGAATATTAATGCCATGACCCAATAGTAGAGCTTGGAGAGAAAGAGAGAAAGAGAAAGAGAGAAAGAGAGAAAGAGAAAGAGAGAGAGAGAGAGAGAAAGAAAGAAAGAAAGAAAGAAAGAAAGAAAGAAAGAGAGTTAATGTTGCAAGGGAGACTATTTCCCTACAAATTTAAACTCGACCATGATGTCCAAGGGCGCATTCCAAAAGCTGGGCAGACTATTGTAAGACAGGAGGATTTCTTTGGTAAAAAAGAAAAGAGTACTGAGCTGCTACGTGACATCTGTCCTCCTTTACGGCAGCGAATGTTGGGCGGTCTCCTTAAAGATGAAGAAGAGATTCGAGGCAACGAAGATGTGGTTCTAAAGAAGAATACTGAGGATATCATGGACCAAGCCTGTGAGCAAAGATGAGGTTTTGGAGAGGATGCAAACAAGGACGTGGCTTATATTTATACATCAGGAAGAGGCAGTAGAAGTCTCTGGGGCACGTAATGAGAAAAGGAGACCTGGAGAATCTGATACTCACAGGTCTAATAGACGGAAAGAGAAACAAAGGAAATCAACAGGATTAAATAAGTGGATGACAGAAAGTGGTCTGGGGGAGGTGGCAGAGGGATGAAACTTATTGAGGGCTACAAGGGATGAGAAGTGAAGAGCCATGATCTCCTACGACCTGAAAGGACGCAGCGCATAAAAAGAAACGGCGGATGAACGACATAAAAATAATCCTACATCAAGAGGGAGTAGCAGTAGCAGCCGTAGCTTTTGATGAATACAGGCATTGACGGCTAAACATTCTCTCTCCGAGTTTCTATTCTACATTACGTTCCCCTTTACCAAAAGGTAATAAACTTGTTAAACCAATTCTGGTTTTCTACTGTTGTTTTTTATAACTCAGTTACAACAAAAACAACAACAAAAAAGAAAACAATAAAAGACCCCCCAAAAATATGCCCATAAAAAAGACGTAGAGAATTGTTGCTTTCTTTCATAACAACGCAACGCCTCATAGAGCAACGATATCGAAAGAAAAGAATTTCGAATTCGGTTGGTCGGTTCTATCCAACACGTCATATTCATCTGAATTTCCATCAAGCAAATATTACTTTTTACTGTCCTTTCAAAACTCTTTGACAGAGAAAAAATTCTCTAATGAAAACCAGATTTTCAAGAAAAAAAACCAGATTTTCAAGATGTCAATAATAAATTTCATAAACAGAAAAAATTTGTGAGGGAGAATATTTCTTTGTTGTCGGAAAAGACATAAAAAATATCCGACATTGCAGTAGCAGCTAAAAAAAGTCATTCAAACATTCTGGTTTTATTCTACATTATGTTCCCCTTTACCAAAAGGTAATAAACTTGTTGTTAAACCAATTCTGGTTTTCTGCTGTTGTTTTTAATAAGACAGTTAAAATAGCTCATATGATGGCTTGCATAGGCTTGACTGTTTCAGGTGTTGCTAAACTTGATCATTTTATTTTCTTATTAACGAATCGGTGAGAAAGTTAATAATGAGAACACAACGCAAATTTCAATATATGAATTTGTTGATATTTTCTTTTCCTTTTTGTGTCGTGTCCCCTCAAGGCAGAAGCAATCATGGCTCTCCACAACTTCCTGTCCCTTGTAGCTTCTTATAATCTTTGTGTTTCTGATATTTTTCCTAAGCACTGTTCAGACATCCATTTGCTCAGGCTAATTAAATATCTTATGCGCTGTTTTTCTCTGTCCTTCTTGCCTTCAATCTGTCCTGTGAGTATCAGATTTTCCAAGTCTTCTTTCCTCATTAGATGCTCCAGAAACCTCAACTCTCTTCCTAGTGTTAAGTATTATTATACTTTTTGTTTCCATATTGTGTAAAACTTCGTTGTTCACACGATGGGCCTACGGTATGCTCACCATTCTTTGTTTACCTTTCTTTCTTTCTTTCTTTCTTTCTTTCTTTCTTTCTTTCTTTCTTTCTTTCTTTCTGTCTGCCTTAATGCGTTCATTATCTATCTATCTATCTATCTATCTATCTATCTGTCTGCCCTTGTCCAGTATTCAAATTTAGATTCAAATATCCCGATAAGAAAATAATGTAATGTTTTCCAAACAGTGATCTACATTCCCAGCAGCCGTTCTCCACTTCTTTCTTCCAAACTTTTCCAGCCGGAAGTGGCCGGTAGTGGTTGGAGGTGGGGGGATAGGATGAGAGACGAAACGTGGTCTGACGTGTCAGTCAAACACAGGAAAGCACCTGGTGTAAAAATGTATCGGGGAAAAAGGGCCGCGGAGAAAAGAACTGGTGTCCTTGCATGCTATTAGTTCATCTCCATTCGCGCTTATCATGTCAAACTCGTTACCACAAACCTCTTCCACCCTTTGTCACTTCACACCTTACATTAGCAGACACGCACGCACACACGCACACACGCGCACACACACACACACATACACACACACATTCACGTACCCAAACATACACACACACATATATGTATGTATGTATAAAACAAGAGTCAAGAACACTCCTCATCTATCAACTTGTCTATCTATATACATAGATACACACACACACACACACACACACACACACACACACACACACATATATATATATATTATAAATGTACCTTGCCATCTGAAACCACACACACACAAACATATACACACTAAAAAGCACAAACACGCAAACACACGAGCATATGTAAGTAACAAAGGCATGACCATCTAACTTCATTCTCTCTTTCCATAACTATCTATCTTTTAAATATATCTCGCTGCTTCTCTCACTCCAAGCATATGTACACGCGTGTGCGGACACACGCACGCACAGACACACATATATGTATGTATGTATGTATGTATGTATGTATGTATGTATTTATATATTTGTATTAAAAATGTACATTGCCATCACTCTCCCTCTACACACGCACACACACAGAAATATACGCACTCAAAAGCACAAACACACACGCAAACACACACGTACATATATATATATATATATATATATATATATATATATATATATATATATATATAGGGAAACATTTCTACCCTTCTAGCTTATAAACATACCATGCACACAAACGCACATGCGCGCGAGCAAACACACATACACACATACACAAAATAAATGAACACACACACACACAGAAACAAGCAAACGCACACAGGCGCGCGAGCACACACGTATACACACAAAATAAACGCACACAGACACACACATATCTATCTATCAAAATATATATATATAACCCGGATATAAGAGACCCGGATATAAGAGAAACCCGGATATAAGAGAGTTTTTATCTGGTCCCAAAGTAGAGCCTGTGTTAATGTATATAAAATAGACCAAACCCGGATATAAGTGAAACCCGGATATAAGAGACTTCGTCTCCGGTCCCGACAACTCTCTTATATCCGGGTTACACTGTATATGTGTATGTGTGTGTGTGTGTGTGTTTATTTGGAAGGTAATCCCTCTTTTATATCAGATTCATTGAAGACAACTGACAAGGCAGTACGATTAAAGTCTCTATTACATTTTCTCTCAGCAATATTGATTTATATGGAAAGAAGGTGGCAAATTAGATGTGAACATATATATATATATATATATATATATATATATATATATATATATATATATATACATATATCAACAAGTTTTGTCCCCAAAAATTTGATTAAAATAACCCGACAAGATCTCTCTGTTGAATTTCTTATTATATTTTTGGTATTTTTAAATAAGGTATTGAATACTGCGCTCGAACTTATCGATAAGCTGTCCGAAGTTCAGATTTTGTATCGTTTGAACAACTACTGCCGATTATCGATATATTGTTTTATGTGGGATCTTAATTTTGTATAATACTAACTTCTAGAATTTTGAGTCTTACCTTGCTTTCCTTACTATAGATTATATATATTAGGAAAATTTATGTCTGTTAATATGTTAGCAGTTCAATCTGCCTTGTTGCAAGCACACGCATGCGTACGCATAAATGACAATGCTGAATATGTAATGATGCGTGTTGTTTGGGTCATATTATTTATAATACCTTCTTATTTTCAACCCACTTACCTGCGCCATTTTGGTCTGATGAGCCTCTTTCTGGAATCCATTTTTGTCTTTTGTTTCAAGATAACACTTTCTCACGCAAGCATTATATTCAAATGTATTAATGCTTACTGGCTGCACGCCATTTTTACCATCCACATTGTTCACCCCTGGCACTTCCTCTTTATCACATATGCATTCTTATATGAATATATCATCGAGTGTGTGATGAAAATGTCTCAACCTGTCAAAGGTGGCATTTCAAAATATGCTCTAATGCTTAGTCTTTTCACCCCATTTCGTGAAGTGAATTGACCACGAGATTTTAAGTATCACCCCCTACGTAAGGTTGTAGAGTCAGACACTTCGACTGATCACCGAAACGTCCTAATATCTACACTTCCTAAATTGGTTCTTTGGGAAATATTTTATTCAAGAAAATTTAAATTGATAACTAAATATGAATTTATTTTGTTTTGCTTTATTTTTAAGTTTGGTACCAACTGTTAAGTCTGTTACCAAGTTGTATGTTTTTCAAAGATTGGTATGTTTGATGCTTATTGGTAAATTTACTTCGGAAGTTTCTTGTCAATTGTATGTTTGGTATTGATTAGTAAGTTTGAAACCGGAGGCTAAATCTGGTAGGGACTGGTAAAGTTGTTATTAGTCAAGCATTGTCTGGTACATTGGATAGTGATTGTAATTTAGATACCTATTGATAAATTTGTAGCTGATTGGTAAAGTTACTACTAGCTTGTAAATTTGGAATTGATTGGTAAGTTTTTTATCGATTGATACATAAATGTGTTACCGACTGATAACTCTATTGCGGATTGGTAAGTATATTACTGACTGGTAAAGTTGTTACTGATAGTGATATGTAAGATTGTTAATGATTGTCAAAGTTGCTGCTGATTATCAATTCTTGTACTAAAAGTGCACCGTGAAGCAATTCAATTCGACAGAAATTTGGAAACGGTATACTGTACTTCTTGGCATTCGCGCCGGAAGCACCAATACGAACATTTCAGAGAATTCGTGTGTCAATGTGAAAACAGTGCAGAAGATTCGGTTGGAGTAATTACTAGTGATGACGATGTGATGCCACCTTTCCTCTTACCACATGGCCTCATACTCAACACGGAGGGCTACATCCAGAGCCTAGAGGAGGTAGTTGTGCCCTGGGTCAAAGGGGTAGCAGCTGGAAGACCTTATGTCTCCCAAAAGGCTCTGCACCATGCCGCACAACTAGGAGAAACCAATCAGGGCTGTCAAACAATTTCTACGACCAGATCACCCCTTAAATCTGGCCATCTATGTCCCCAGCCTGCGACACCCTTGATTATTATATGTGGGTCGTAGTTGAGCGGGAGATCAACAAAATTCCTTGTAACACCAAGGATTATGGCAGTATTCACCAATTTAAACAAGGAGACAATCGAGAAGAGCAGCAGGAGATTCCGAAGACGTTTGGAAGCCGTAGTTGAAGCCAATGGCGATTTTATTGAATAAATTCACTCCTTATATTTTTGTGCAATTGTAGCAAATATATCTGTTTAAATGAGATGCCAATATTTTCCTTCTTGCGTTAATTAGACGACAATTTATACATCGCACCCTGTGTTTATATATATATATATATATATATATATATATATATAGAGAGAGATAGAGAGAGAGAGAGAGAGAGAGAGAGAGAGAGAGAGAGGATCTAATATAAATAATAGAACAAAAAATATTAGTATACAACCCAGTGTGTCTGAAAATTTTAATTTCTTAATTTCTCAATATTTTTATTGTTCAAAACATATATATATATATATATATATATATATATATATATGTTTCATTAAAAACGACAGACAAGGTGCTACGGTTAAGCGTTTTATTTAATTTTTCTTGTGTTCGAACAAGAGCTTTCTTTTCTGGACAAATGGTGTGTAAGAACTGTCCAAATGTTTTATATTTCCGAGCGCTTTCGGCTATACCTTTAGCCATTATCAAGGATGATTCGATTTTTCAGTTTAATTGAGTGTGTGCGTACCTACCACACACTAAGACATACACAGAACGCACACACTCGATTAGACTGAAAAATCGCCCACCACTACAGATGACAACCAAATCAAGAGATTGATTGAGAATAATCAGTATTATACAACGGGGAATTGGCAGAAACAAATCTACTATACATGAGACTCTATTGAAACTTGGGTATTCAAATCACTACGATGTTTGGGTACCACATGACCTGAGTGAAAAGAATTTTTTCTGTGATTTACTGTACAAATGAAAATACACCCTTTTGAAACAAACTGTGACAGGCGGTGAGAAATGGGTTGTTTACAACAATGTTCAGCGCAAAAGATCCTGGCGCAAGCCACGTGAACCAACTTTAGCCACCTCAAAAGCAATTCTTCATCTTAAGAATGTCATGCTGTGCATTTTGTGGTATTAGAAAAGAATCCTGCTAAGTAGCCAGTTAATTGATTCTGAAAAGTACTGCTCGCTACTGGATGAACTGAAGGCAGTAATTCAAGAAAAATGCCCGGAATTACCGAACAGGATAGATGATATTTTCCATCAGGATAATGCCAGACCTTACTTTTCTTTAGTGACGCGGCAAAAATTGTTGCAGTTTGGCTGGGAAGTGTTACGCCACCCGCCATATTCAACAAATATTGTTCTTTGGCTTTTCATTTATTCAGGTCCTTGCCAAATAATCTCAGTGGTAAAAATTTTAGTTCTTTGGATGACATAAAAAAAACCCACCTTAATGATTTCTTTGCCGAGTAACCACCAAAATTCTAGGAAGATGGAATCTTTAAGTTGAAGGAAAACTGGTGAAACGTTTTGCAACAAAATGGTTTATATTGGCATAATTTTCTATTGTATTTAATTTCCCTTAAAAATCGGCATTTTACGGTCAACTCTCTCTCTCTCGATATATATATATATATTGTGTGTGTATCACAGACTATCATCACTGTCTTGTCCGTATATTGCTTAATATAATGTACTGTAATTGTCATCTTTGATAATGGCTTATGTAAGCCGAAGGCTTAGAGTGGAATAAAAAATATGGATCTATATTGTGATTTTCTTTCTTCGTTTAATGATAATGTTATTAAGCTTATCAGACGTTATGAAAAGAATTTACATAAAATAAATAGACAGCACTTGTCTATATTATTTAATAAAACATGTATGAATATATATATATATATATATATATATATATATATATATATATATATATATATATATATATATATATGTCTTATGCAGTGTTACATTAGAACATGCACATATCCACTACAAAATTGTACATTTTCGTTTCAATGTCAAAAAAGGAAAACCTTTTTAAAAATGTCTCATCAGGTGGGGAATTACGGTGTTACTATAAGCTCAATACAGAAATGCAGTTATCGAAGCAAATATCATCTACTTCCGTTTTTTGGAAATTTTCATAAAATGTCTTCTAGAATTTACCTGTAGAGATGGAAGGTAATCTAATGTATTAAGTAGTCGTGGGTGGATGAAAAAGAAGGGAAAAGGAAAATGGAAAAAGGGAAAAGAAAAAAAGGCGGAAAGAGATAAAGAAAAAGGAAAAGAAAAAGAAAGTGGCCATGTGAAAAGGAGGAGGCGATGAGCGCCAAGAAGAGATAAAATCTGGCCATAGAATTCCGTTAGAATGTAAACTTTCAACCTTCTCCTAAGTTGGTTAGGTTGATGCTTCAAGTGAAAATAATTTATAGTCAGAGACAATTATAGTAAAGGTTAGAATATTAGATACCTTTTTTTATCTTTCGTATTATTTTGGGATAAATCGTTGTCAATGAGAAAAATAATTCGAGTAATATAACTTTACTTTTGGTTCTTCTACACTTTGATACATACACACATACATACATACATACACACACACACACACACACATATATATATATATATATATATATATCAATACATGTCTCATTAAATAATTTAGACAAGTTTTATCTACTTATTTTTAATAGGATTCTCTCATAATTACGGACAAAATTCTTACAATCCTTATTATAGGAAAAATGTGATGCATGTTCATTTTATTCCGTGTGCTTTCGACATTAGCACAATGTCCTCATCAGGCTGTTGTTTTTTTCTAAGACAAAATTATTGTGTTCATTGTCTATAACAAAATTGTTGTATTTATCTAAAAATAAAATTTTTACATGTGAAGGGAAAAACGCTAAGGTTAAGTACTGTGTATTTTTAACATTTATGATGTAAACGTAAAGGGAGGTAACTAAGTTATTGAAAAGTCTAATATTTAAAAACAAAATCTATTTAAAACTATTGGTTAAAACCTAGATATTTTAAACGTTCTACTGTAAAGATTTGCGCAGTATTCATAATTAATTTTATTAATGGGAGATTAAAATATCTAAGTAAGCCTTTCCTCACGATTAAGAGTCAAATAATGAGAAAATCAAATGGTTTTCTTCTTCTTTTCAGTGCTGTGTCACTTTAAGAGCTGAAGGAGTGTGGTTCTCCGCAACTGCCTTTGTTTATCTTTTTGTTATCAATCCTCATCACTATTCGGCTAACGTTTTAAAGAAGCTCGTTAAATAGGTTGGTCGCAGGTTTATTCCATCCATCAACTTGTGTGTGTTACATTTTCCAAGCCTTCAATATTTCAAAAACAAAATAAATATGTGCTTCTTTGTGGGCGTGTGAGTTTGCGTGAAAATATACTGAACTTTAATATCTATCTATCTATCTATCTATCTATCTATCTATCTATCTATCTATCTCATTCTGTTCATTATCTATCTATCCCATTCTGTTCATATCTATCTATCTATCTATCTATCTATCTATCTATCTATCCCATTCTGTTTCTATCTATCTATCTCATTCTGTTTCTATCTATCTATCTATCCCATTCTGTTCATATCTATCTATCTATCTATCTATCTATCTATCTATCTATCTATCTATCTATCTATCTATCTATTCCAGTTTCAAGTTGCTGGAAATATATACAATTATCCCACTCATTCCTTATTCAGTTTTTCTTCCCAAATCATCTGATGCTTTCACACATATTTTGCGCCAAAGGTTTCATATATTTTAGCTTAACTCTTAATCGAAGAAGAATATCATATGCTGTACATAAATCATTTTCTTTTTCCAAATCACTCATTTTCTTTTCATATTCTCTTTTGTCAGCAAAAGAAAAGATAATAAAATATGGGCATGCAAAATAACAATGTGATTTCCTGCAATACCGGAAGTTCCCATGTTTACCGTGATGCATCAGATTCTATTAAAAAATGAACTCATCTAATATTCTCTTTCTTTAACCAGGATTATTTGCTAATAATATTTCCGTCGGCCATATTGCTTCCGCTGTGTTCATTATGGAGGATTATATAATAAGAATACTTAATTTTGTGATTGATTCATAGAGAAGACTTATGCTTATGGACAGCTCAATGGTTAATGTATATTATTAGAAACCACTAGGAATTCGATTCAATTCTGCTCTCAAACGAGATTTTCTTTAATTCCTGTGAATTACAGTAAATTAATTCTTTGGAACGTTGATTCAGTTTGTGGAAAGAGAAATCCGAAAAAAATTGTTTAAGCAACTGAATCATTTCATATTGCCATTTAATGAAAGTTGATAAAAAAAAAACGGCTTCACTGGAGGTCGGACGAATTTCGACAGGAAGATCCTTTTGCGCCATTGTTTCCAGTAAGGACGGTCTGCATATGATTATTTAGGGGTTTTCATTTTATTTGAAATCGGTTCAAGCAAAAAGGCTGGCAACTATTTACACTATTTAAATCATTCGGACTGTTGTCCTCATCTTTATTGCCATAATCACGAATGTTCGGTTGTTGTACATTGGAACCTTCTTTAGCTGACATATGTTTGAATTTCCAACCGACACCTTTATTTGCATTCACTTATCTGGCTATATCCTTCGGAAAGGTATTTATCTATGTTTTCGTCACCCAGCTATGGGTAAAATAGCAAGAAAGACTATGTCCTAAAGCCTTGGGTGGTAACCAGTCTATGAGAAGGAAACACTGAATTAAAACCAGCCTGAGAGATGGGCTCTGTCAGGCTAAGTTATCCAAAGTTTGTATTCATGCGATTGTGAATTCATATTCTCATTGAACTTTCTATTATGAATTTGAACGTACAAATGAATGCAACCTCTGCTAGGGTTGGTCAGCTTTCGTACGCATGCAACAAATTCCTTTAATGGTACTGGCTCAATCAATCCCAGGTGAATGCGGCAACAAGTACAAGTAAGAAAATTCCGTTAGGAGTCCATTCCACAAAACAGCAGTTCGTGGTAAGAAGCATCTCGAGTGAACCTTACATCTCACCAATGGAATACGAAGTTAATGAAGATGGTTCGCTGCTAAGTGAAAATTATAAATGGTGGAACTAAGGAATGTTGTTCGTCTGAACATTCTCCATGGAAATAGCGGCAGTACAGCGAGAGTTTTGCGAAGTTTCGTCTGTGAGAAAGGTTTTGTAGGGTTGAAAATATTTTGGCACCCACAAAGACGCGGAGATGCTTTTGAACTCTATCGAGACTGGAACGTAAAGATTCGGCAGATCCTGCCAATATGGCAACAGTACTCTATTTTTGTCTTGACCTGGTAAAATAGAAGATGGCAGGATGAATCCGTTACTTGCTGGAACTGTACATGGGACTGGCAATTTTTCCAGCATCTTTAGCGATGTATCGTATCGTGGCCTGACATTTGGCCGAGAGACATTTGGCCGGCGGACATTTCACCGAAAAGTACAAGTATAAAATAGTAACAAGCAATAATTATTTTAACTAGCAGTATTATAAAGTAGAAATTGACTAAAATTACCACTGAATTTCAAGTAATTAAATTATTAAATCTAAATTTAAAGTAAAATTTTTCTTATTTTTTTTTATTGAAATTAGTATTTTTAAAAATATTTGAGTGTTGTTGAAACTTGACTAATGCATGGAATAATAATACAACACAAAATGTACTTAGAACAAAATGTATTGAAACAAGAAAGTGTACACAATATTTACATATAGTCTTTTGTATATTTCTGGGAAGACCGTTCCTGGAGAATGTGTTGACTTAGTCGCAGTCGGGCAGAGTCTCTGGTAGAATCTCTTGATTCCACCCTCTCTTCCCGGTACCAACCATATTTATATGGTCGGTACTCCACTATGCAAATTAGGTGGATCCTACCACAACAAGTGTGTTTAGGGGAAAAGTAGCACCTAATTGTTTAAATTCGTATTTAACAGTAAGATAAACGCTAGTTCATCCCTTTAAGATAATGATCATTATATCGTAAAAGTTTAAGATTTTTGCTGTAGTAAAATGTACTTTTCCTCAAAATACTTATCATCTTACAGTAATACTTGAAGTAAAATATAAAATACACAGAATAGACTTTTAAAAATACAGTCCAAAAAAAACACAAAAAAAACGTAAAATTATAAATTAATACAGTAAATAAATATAAATATATGTAGCACATTACGATCAAGAGTGTGACATACATGGAAGTACGCCACTACATTTTCGGCTAAATTTCCATTCGGTTAAATATCCATTTGGTTAAATGACCGTCGGCCAGATGGCCGAGCACTTGATCATATGTACGAGTTGCCCGTGAGGTCTGGTTTAAGTTTCATGTGCAATAGGTGCTCAAGCCACGGGGCTTCTCTGAGGAAACATCCATTCATCAAGACTGGTGATATTTCTAAGGCATGAGGAAGGATGACGTGGAGAATTTGACACTCACAGGGCATATAAATGGGGCAAATGAAATCAGTGGACCATCTGGCTGACGAGCTTGTTTGAATGAATGAATGAATGAATGAATGAATTGAGACGGTAGTCTTAGCAAAGGGACAAATGTTGCTAAAAGCTGCAAGAGATAGGAGGTTGTGGAGAACCATGATTGCCAACATCCTAGAGGGACACAGCACACAGAAGAAAAAGGATAATGTTTGGTATTTATGGAAAGGTTGCAGAGGATTGAACTCGTTCTCAAAAGTTTCGGTGATCATCCAGCATTCTGTACACGAGAATTATTCCATGCTAAGATTGTTTGCAATGATGAATTTGATCGATGTCAAAAATAACTTTAAAAATTAATAAAATTATATATAAATATACATAAAAAATCTAAAAGAAAAGGAAATTGCATGTAAATTATTAAAGATGGCGGCGATTGTGACGATAAAAAAACAAAAAAAAAACATAAATGTCTGACACTCGAATTTTTCTTCAAAATCACGTTTTTTTTGCCTTAAAAACGAAATCATATACATCTTTCATTTGTTTATTAAGAATTATTTAATTTTATTTCTTTTTCTCTCTCGTATTTTCAAAGGTTTGTTTATATTGTAACGGGCCTTCCTCTTCTTTCCAGTCTTGACCCGGCGATAACCGAAGGCCTTACATGGATCTCAAACTTTACATCGTTGATCGCAACAATATTGGATTTTGCATTTTAATTATGATGAATACTCTTTATGATTGTGAACAAGATATAACTGGGTGGTTCCATGTCGACCCACCGGGAAATACCTGATCCATCCCATTTTATGAAAGTGGAAAATAATAATAATAATAATAATGAGCACTTGTATAAAAAGAGAAAAAAAGTAGTGGAGACAGACGGAAAGAAATGTGGGGAATTTACAGAGAAAGAGAAAGTAACACGAAAGATGGGCATAGAGAAAATGAGATAAAAACGATAGTAAGAGAGAGAGAGAGAGAGAGAGAGAGAGAGAGAGAGAGAGAGGCAATAGTGGGCGTAAAGAATGAGAGATAGAAAGCAAAAGAAATAAAGAGAAATAAACAGAAATATAACAGAGAAAGAGAGAGAAAAGAAAGATAGAAAATAAAAAATAAAATAGAAAAACGAGAGAAGAGAGAGAGAGAGAGAGAGAGAGAGAGAGAGTGGGCGAAAAGAATGAGAGATAGAAAACAAAAGAAATAAAGAGAAATATAACAGGGAAAGAGAGAGAAAAGAAAGATAGAAAATAAAAAAGAGATAGGAAAAGATAAAAAATAGAAATAATGACAGAAAGGAATGAGCAAGCGAGAGGTAGGAGAAGACAGAGAACAAGGAAGAAATAAGAAAATTAAAGGATAGGAAGAAAGAGAGAAAAGAAATGGAGACAGAGAGAGAAATCACAATGAGAAAAGAAAGATAGATTGAGTGACAAGGAGAGAATGAGACAGAGAAAGACAGGGAGAAAGAGCGAAGAGAGAAAAACAGAGAAAAAGAAACGAGAGTAAAGAAAGAGAAAACGAAACATAGACTGACAGAGAGAGAGAGAGAGAGAGAGAGAGAGAAGAGAGAGAGAGAGATTAGGAAAAATGAGAAAAAGAAAGAGAAAAAGAGACGGGGATAAAAGCAGAGAGAAAAAAGAAATAGAAAAGACAGAAAAAGATAGAGAGAAAATAAAATTAGAGAGAGAAGAAAGAGAGAGAGAGAGAGATAAGTAAATAAATAAATGACGAAAGAAAGAAAGAAAAAAGAAAGAAAAAAGGAAGAAACAAAGATCGTTTAGCCTCTCATTTAAGTTTATCAGTTAAGACAACAAATTTTTCCTGTTAAGTTTTGAAGAGTGAAAGTAATTGTATATTAAATAATGTATAAATTAATTTGAACTTGAATCGAATAAAAGAAAGTTTACAAATAAACATAAAAATGGCTAAACTAATAACAAAACCCGTACCTATCAGTGGCCCCCTAGTGTTGGGTTAAAAGCTGAAAACGAAGGTCTTATTCTTGCTGCACAGGAGCAATGCTTGTTAATTAGAAATTATCAAGCATACATACTAAAAAAAATTGTTAGCCTAAAATGAAAATTCTGCGATAAATATCCAGAAATAATTGCACGGTATTGGCACCTACTGAATATAAAACCCGGCATTACAGGGGGGAGGGCAATATCTGCAACTCCTACGGAAAGGAAATTGAAAGAAATTGGTATGAACACCACCCAGACCCGGTTACGGAGGTAGGACCTGTAACAATTTTATGGGTCTTCACAATACACACAGACAGCACAATCAAATCTAATCGCCCTGAAAGCGTTAATAGAGACTGCAAAATTGCCTACTTATTGATACTGTTGTCCCTGCAGACTGCAATGTATCTTTGATGATCTTCAAAAAGCTATCAAAATGCAAGGACCTTGAAATCGAAATATTGAAAATGAGGAGC